CCAGTTAGAATGGCAATCATTAAAATGTCAGGAAACAACAGATGCTGGAGAGGATGTGGAGAAATAGGAACACTTTTACACTGTTGGTGGAAGTGTGAATTAGTTTAACCACCGTGGAAGACAGTGCGGTGATTCCTCAAGGATCTAGAACCAGAAATACCATCTGACCCAGCGATCCCATTACTGGGTATATACCCAAAGGATTATAAATCATTCTACTATAAAGATACATGCACACATAAGTTTACTGCTGCACTATTCACAATAGCAAGGACTTGGAACCAACCCAAATGTCCATCAATGATTGACTGGATAAAGAAAATGTGGCACATATACACCATGGAATACTATGCAGCCATAAAAAGATTAGTTTATGTACTTTGCAGGGACATGGATGAAGCTGAAAACCATGATTCTCAGCAAACTGACACAGGAACAGAAAATCAAACACCACATGTTCTCACTCATAAGTGGGAGTTGAATAATGAGAACACGTGGACACAGGGAGGGGAACATCACACACCAGGGCCTGTCCGGGGGATGGGGGACAAGGGGAGGGATATCATTAGGACAAATACCTAATGAATGGGGGGCATAAAACCCAGATGACAGGTTGATGGGTACCGCAAACCATCATGGTACACGTATACCTATGTAACAAACCTGCATATGCTGCACATGTACCCAAAACTTAAAGTATAATAAAAAAAATTGTACACCCACTGTAGAAAATAGTATGGTGATTGCTCAAAAAATTAAAAATAGAACTACCATATAGTCCAGTAATCCCACTTCTTGCTATATACCCCAAAGAACTATTAATACAAGCAGGAACTGAAGCAGATATTTGTAGACTCATGTTAATAGCAGCCTTACTCGAAACAGATGAATGGATACGCAAAGTGTGGCATAAACATATGATGGATTATTATTCAGTCTTAAAATGGAAAGAAATTCTGGCATATGCTATAGGATGGATAACACTGAAGAGACATGATGCTAAATGAAATAAGCTAGACACACAACAAACAAATACTGTATGTTCCACTCTATGAGTAGTGAAAATCATGAAGACAAAGTAGCACGGCAGTTGCCAGGGAGTAGAGGAGGCGGCAGTGGAGAGTTACTGTTTCATGTGTAAAAGGTTTCAGTTCTGCAAGATGAAAATAGTTCTGGAGATGGATGATGGTGATGGTTGCACAACATTATGAATGTGCTTAATGCTACTGAACTGAACACTTAAAAATGGTTAAGATAGTAAATTGATGTTTGTGCATTTTACCACAGTAAAACAATTGAGGAAAAAATATTAATATTTTTTAAAATCTGAGATTAAAGAAACTAATAAAATATAGGTCCGCACATTTTTATGGACCTGTAGTAGTTGCGGGCGAATCACCTGAGGTCAGGAGTTCGAGATCAGACTGGCCAACGTGGTGAAACCCCGTCTCTACTAAAAATGCAAAAACTAGCTGGGCGTGGTGGCAGGTGACTGTAATCCCAGCTACTCGGGAGGCTGAGGTAGGAGAATTGCTTGAACCTAGCAGACGGAGGTTGCAGTGAGCTGAGATCGTGCCACCGCACTCCAGCCTAGGCGACAGAGTGAGACTCCGTCTCAAAAAAAACAATCTGCAGTAATTTAGTCCTGTGTCATTGCGATTTGATTTTTCTGACAGCCTCTGTGATTCTGGGCTTGCACCTCTCAAATCCATCCTCCCCACTGTTGCCAGGGTGATTTCTTTAAAACATAAACTTGATTGCATCAGTCCTCCTTCAAAGCCCCTGCTTCATGCTCCACAGCCGGCACCCAGGCTTTCTGTGACGAAGCCCAGAAATTCATGAGGCTGAATATAGCCTCATTCTCCAGTTTCCCCCCATCATTTACTGCTCCCAGAAATACCAACTTCTTTTTGTCTCTTACACACATCACACGGGTTTTTGCTTCTGTGTTACTGCTGAGATTGTTTCCCTTCATGAAACACTCTTCTAACAACAACCCTGGTCTCAGCTTCACCAGGATGACTTCCTGACTGGCCCAGGCTGCGCGGGGCGCCCTTCCCTTGGTCTCCACGGGGCCTCTGGCTTTCCTTTCTTTTGGTGCTTGACACTCTGTGCATCTTTCAACATGAGCTGGAAGGACTGTGATGTACTGGCTACTGTAGTTCTTAAGAGTCACTGAGCTGAATGGTGTGCTCTATATTTACTACTACTTTCCCCCTTTCGAATCCTCCCTCACTGGTTCAGCACTCCAATCTCGCTGTATAAGAAAAAGAGAAGTGTAGTCAGAAAGTGGGAGGTCACTCTCCCACCAGCTCCTGCACTGTGTAGTGACCACAGAGAGAACATCAAGGTATATATTAATAGCATTTCTGCAGTTAGAGGATGGAAATGATCGTCTTTCAACATTTTGCTCATTGACCTAAAATGTAAATGTATGATATCGACTCAGTCTCCCCAGAGTTAATCTTGGATGAAAATACAAAATGCATTCTTTGAGTCCTCCCCTTCAACCCCCCACCCACCCCCCAGGCATCCAACTGTTACTCTCTTACATTATAACTTACCATCCCTGCTTTTCATCCACTCTGGACCTAAATTAACAAACTTGAACCATACAGTGCTGTTCCCAGGTACAATGTAGGCAGCCTGATCGTGGCCTTGGAAGAGATAATACACAGGTTTGGGTTTAAAAATAAATTACTGAAATTTCAAGTGGATTATGAGAAGAGTAGCCTAGATAGCATTTTTAACAAACAGATTTCTTTTTTTAGGCGAATCGTTAAGTTTTTTTTAACTTTAAGAAATATTTTTAATTGATACCTAATGATGACATATTTATGGGGTACATAGTGGTGTTTCATCTTAGGGTAATTAGCATATATATCATCTCAAGCATTTATCATTTCTTTGCGTTGGGAACATTTACTATCCTCCTTCTAGCTATTTGAAACCATATGTTATTAACTATATTAATTGTTCAGTGCTATAGAACACTAGAACTTATTCCTCCTCTCTAGTTATAATTTGTGTCCTTTAATAAATCTCTCCCTATCCTCTTTCACCGACTCTTCTCAGCCTCTAGTATCTCCTGTTCTACTTTTCACTTCTAGGAGATCAACTTTTCTTTAGCTTCCACATACGATTGAGAACATTTGGTGAACAAAGACGTTTCACACTTTGAACACAGTCACATATCTAGTATTCTGTATACTTAGTAACCCAGACCTTTTCCAAAACATGTCCTCCCTAAATTCTAATCCAAAAAAGTCTCAGAAAATCTAACCAAAATATTTAAGACCTGGATGAAGTTTAACAGTATACACACAAACTGGAATTACTTAATTTGAATGATTTACCACTCAATAAATTTTGCCCATGTACCATCAATGCTGTAATAAAATATTTCAGCACAAAGTAAATTTTGAGATTTATGACATCCTTACGGACTTCAATACTGTTCATCTTTTCCAAGGTTCATCTCCCACTTGGGAAATAACTCACTGCCTTGTAGTCACCACATCTCTGACAAATGTCTTTTTACAGGTGCTGTACAAAGTCTGATTTTACACAGTAAATGGAGACTTTACTGTGGTAAAGAAGAAGGTAGAGAAATTGACGATTGTGTAATTTCACAGTTATTACCAACTACTATATAATCTTAGCCATCCAAAATAGTGGGAGAGACACTCAGGGAAATGCCTTGAGTTATTTATTTTTCTTCTTGGGTGGATGACGAAGGCTGTCACGAGCCAGGGAATGGTGGGCTGACAGTCTGTTTCACACCCAAGATCTCCAGGAGTCAGCATCTGGCAGGAGGCCGGGGGGATTCAGTGCTGGCTTGATCTGGCCCCAGATGGTCTCCTGGACACAGAAGCCCAGTCCCCCACGTTCCCCAGCCCATCTTTGCACTTTGGTGGCTCTCCTTCACAAACATGGCAAAAGAGCTCCAAGAACACAGAGCACACAAGGCACACATCCAGTTGCCAGGATGTCAGAATCTCAGTTATGTGGAGCCCAGGGAGACAAGCTCTGGCATCTGCTTTCATTATTGCCTGTCTGACTGCACAACTGCTTCTCATCATTGTTTTTATAGCAATTGTAATTCTCCTCCTGTATCAGTTTTCCTGCAAACCAATTATGTTAAAAAAAAAAAAAAAAAAAAGGTATCTCAGAAATTCTAGTGCCAGTGATCAAATGTTGAAGTCACTAAGAGACTGAAATTCTGCCATTTTCCCATTTCCATTCCTTTCAATGAAGACAGCCTCAAACTCAGACTTGATTTCTGAATCTCCAAGGGCGGCATGGCTAAAACTGAATATAATCTGGGCAAACTGAAGCGTTATGAGGCTCTGGAGAATGTGACTGAGAGGTATATCTGACAAAGCCATGGCCAAACCTCCTGGGCTTCCCCCATACAGCTGTGCGGCAGCTGTAAGGGAACGCCACTCGCTTCTCTACACAGGATTCCCAAAAAGGCTCTCTTATAATGAGCATGCCAATGTGGGCAAGCCACTACATCTTCTCAGGGTAAATCACGTGCTTGGGTTGAAAGGGAAAAACACACAGTTGTCCAAGTTCACTATTATGGTAATGTAGGTCCCAGTGAATGTGAGGCCAACTGGTGGCCGAGGTTCACCGTCTAGTAGACCTGGAAGCAGCCCTCTGTTGACAGAGGACCAGAATACCATCATCCCGCCTGGAAAGTACTGAAAGAGACTAAGTTATATATATGCAATGCTCTAGCTTGAGAATTACAATCCTATAATTAGGAAAAATGCTGAGTACGCCTAGTCTCTATGCAGTTCAGTCAGTACACCACACCTAACTAACACAGTGTTGCTCCCTGCATTCACCTGTGCCTACCACCACAGGCTCCTGAGCTTCCCTGGGCACCACTGCCAAGGCCACACGAGGCCAAACCAATCTGGAGGCGTGCGAGGTTCCCAACCACCTCCATAGCATGGGACTTAGCAGAGGTGGCTGAGCATGTGGGCCACCAGTTCCAGAACCAGGCGACCTGGGTGTGCACCCCAGCTCCACCACTTGTCAGCTTTATAAATATGGGCAGGTGTCCTAAGTTTTCTTTGCCTCAGTTTCCCGTCTCAATCATGGGATTAAAACAGTGCTTAACTCAAGGATTGAGTTAATATATGAAAAGCTGTTAGTACCCAAGTGCCATGTAAGTGTTAGGTATCAGCTATGTTATTTTTATTTTTACTAGAGTACATGGGTATCTTATATATGGGTACAAAATACTACAGACTGGGTAGTTTAAACAATAGACATTTATTTCTCACAGTTCTGGAGGCTGGGAAGTCCAAGATCAAGGTGCTGGCAGATTTGAATTCTAGAGAGGGTCTTCTTGCTGGCAGACAGCCTAGCCACCTTTTCACTATGTCCTCATATGGCTGAAGGGAAGAGCACTCACTCTATTATCACTTCTTCTCCTAAGGACACTAATCTCACTGTGGGAGCTCTACCCTCATGACCTCCTAATTTAAACCTAATTATTTCCCAAACGCCCCACCTCCGAATATTATCCTATTGGGGGCTAATGCTTCAATGTATACATTTGGGGGTGGAGGGACACATATTCGTCCATAACAATGGAGAAAAACAAAACAGGTGGACCTTCCAAAGGTTTATCATGGAAGAAACTTTGAGGCCATAAGAGTAACTTCTTAAAGTCCACCTTGGCTGTGAGATGGAGTTTCCTAGTTTAGTTCAATGGGCAATAAATTGTATTTCAAGTAAATGAAGTAGAAAAAACAAAAAAAAACATGGCAGAACAGTATAAAAGAGCAAGAGATTAGTCAAGTACATTGGCAAATTGCATAATTAGAGGTGAAAGTGTCTTTTTTTCTGGTTCATTTCTTTTTTTTAAAGTCCCTTTGCCTGAACTAGAGAACATTATTTTTATATTAGGTGGATATTACCAGTTTTAACAGCTTAACTAAAGCAAAGGTAGCTTTACAGTCCTAATACTGTGAGGATAACACAAAGAGCTGTTATGAGAACGCACGGAAGCATATCACTCCGTGATGTAAGATAAATATTAAACATTATAACTGCCTCTTCCTTAGGAACAAAAAATATGTCTGTAACAAAAGAAATTAATTTTTGTTTTCTACCCCCTGAAGGTACTTTCTAAAAGTTCACAAGTATGAATTCCTGAACCTAATGTTTGCGAAAGTCCTGAATATTCTCTTCCCTCTCTTCCTGTGTGCCACACCTTCTAGAGATGAGATCAATACATACTTTACAGAATAGACAAGTAACTCAGGCTTCTGTGAGGGACTCTGGCAATTCGAGGAACCCCAATTCCTGAGCTCTGCCCTGCTGGACACAGAGGGGCTTCCCCAGGGTCACTGCTGATCTACTTCTTATCCCAGTCACTGGTGCTCCCCATTCTCATCGTTTCTGACTTTCAGACTCTACATGTTGTTCATCTACCCTATGGTACCTGTGTAGGGAGTCTGAAGAATTTAGGAATTGATCAAGGACAAAAGTTACGACCATGAAATGGCAGCAACACACACAAGGCTGTACTGGATAAGGCTCTGACAGGTTTGCGTGCAGGTGGAGTCCCTCACTGCACGTGACTGACCAGAGGCTACTCAGAAGGGGAGGTAGGCAAGGGAACACCTGGGAAAGAAGGGACTGGGAGGGGAAGCTTATATACGTATGTTTCTATGTGACGTCAGTGTTACTCAGCAGCAGAGCAAGGAGTCTCTGGTCAGAGATCCCTGAAGCACAGCAGTGGCCTGAGGGTCTTCTAGGCCTGGGGCTTACCTTACGTATGATTATAGATGTTGGATAGAGTTTTGGGTGTATGCAAATCGGTAGGCTCAAAATGGCTAAAACTCTGCTTAAACTATGTTTAAAATGATTTGGATGTGAAAACATTTGAGTATGGCGCTTGCAGGCTTTCGAGCTAATGGATCTCAGTCAGCTATGTAAGAAATAAACAATTCAGGGATTGATATGTGGAGGCCATTTCGGACTCATTCATATAACATGCCTACCAGGCCAAATGAGCTCCAAGATGTGTATCTTCCCAAGTAGTATAATTTATATTTAAATCATTTCACCCAGGGACCGATTTATAATTTCCCACTCATTTGCCACAGAATCACTTCATTTCTATGAACCTCGGTTCCCATGTCTGAAAAGCTGACCACCCTCTTAGTGTTTACTCCATTTCTCCTTGTTGCCGCAACATTAAGTTCAGTCCTACAGAAGATACACCTGGGTTATCAAGATGTTTGATAAAATTACAGATTCCTGATCCCTAACAGCCCTACCAGATCTGTATTCCTGGGAGGTAAAAAAATCAATAATTCATAATTTGTGAAAATTCTCCAGGTGATGCGCAGTCAGGCTAGGAGCCAAGGTCCCGGTAGCTTCCATGGGGAAATGTGGAAGTGATCTCTGCCGTCAAGACCTTTCCATGTTGTTTCATTGTTGAAACAAGACAGATGTACTTTGGGAACAGATGGGAGAGGTCTGGGTAAGGAACACATTATGAATGAAGACAGGGGACCAGAAATCAACACAGAGTGTTTATGGGACAGTAAGGAAGCTGTCTGGACCTCTGTATTGGGTGTGTGTTCTGAGGCAATGAGGACATCAGGTTGGATAAGAAGGTGTGGCTGAAATTATCCTGGGGAGTGTCTGTTAATGAGAAATAATTTTGACCTCATGTGGTAGGAAATAAGAAAAAATCAAGTGATAAGAGAATGACAAATAAGGAGTCATTCTGGAATGCAAAGTATTTTGCCATGTGCCATACATGTACAGAAATGAAATAAAAGACAAACTATGGGGCAGAACCTAAAATGACAGCTTTATAAACATCTCATTTAATGCTCAAAGCAGTTTTCTTTCTAGTAATTTATCCACTTTACTCACCTAATTTCTTTGTATACAATTGATCAAAGTATTCCTTTATAACCCTTCCTATATCTCTAAGGTCAGTAGTAATGTCCCTCTTCACACCTGATTTTAGTCATTTGAGTCTTTAATTTCTCTTGGTCTGTCAAGCTAATAGTTTGTCTATTTTGATCTTTGCTAAGAACCAACTTTTGGTTTTATTTTCTATAATGTTTTTCTATTCTCTATTTCATTTATTTTCTCTCTAATCGTGTTTCCCTCCTTCTACTTGCTTTGGATTTTGTTTGCACTTTTTTTTTCTGATTTCTAAGTGTGAAAAGTTACTGATTTGATTTTTTTTTATATTTTAATATTTGCATTCACAGGTATATTTGCATTCACAGGTATATCCCTCTAAGCACGGATTTAGCTGTATCACATAAGCTTTAGTATGTTGCGTTTTCATTTTTAATTCATCTCAAAATATTTTCTAATTTTTCCCTTGTGATTTTTTCTTTGACCCCATGGTTATTTAGAAATGTGTTAAATTTCCATATATTTGTAAATTTCCCAAATTTCTTTCACTTATTGATTCCTAATTTTATTCCAGTCATTGACTAGTACACTTTGCAAAATTTTAATCCCTTTAAATTCATTGAGGCTGACTTTATAATCTAACATTTTCCTCTGCCCTGGAGAATATTCCATGTGCACTTGAGAATAATGTGTGTTCTGTTGCTGTTTAGTGGAATGTTCCATAGACGTCTATGAAGTCTAGTTGATTTATAGTGTTGTTAAAGTTTTCCACCTCCTTGTTTGTCTTTGTTCTAGGTGCTTTATTATTGAAAGTGGAGTAAAATCTTCAACTCTTACTGTTGGATTGTATTTCCTCCTTCAATTATGTCAATTTTTGCTTTATGTATTTTGGAGCTTAGTTGTTAAGTGGATTAATGTTCATAATTGTTATATATTCTTGAAAGAATGGTCTTTTATTATTTTATCCTTCTTCATCTCTAATGATAATTGTTGCCTTAAACTCTATTTTGCCTGACATTAATATGACCACATTAATTATCTTTTGGATACTGTTTGCATTTTTCCCAAGTTTTTTGAATTACTTTTTCCATTCTTTACTTTTACCTATTTATGTATACATTAGATCTAAAGTGTATCTTATAGATAGTATATAGTTGGGTCATTTTCAATTCAGTGTTTACTTCCTTTTTAATTGGACTGTTTAATTCATTTACATTTAATGATTATTGATAGGATTATTTATGTTTGCCATTTTGTTATTCTATCTTTAACAATTAAAAAAAATTCTTTGGGAAACAGGGTCTCACTCAGTTGCCCAGGCTGGAGTGCAGTGGTGATATAATAGCTCACATGCAGCCTTTATCTCCCTGGCTCAGGCAATCTTCCCATCTCAGCCTCCTAAGTAGCTAGGACTACATGCATGTGCCACCATGCCTGAGCTAATTTTTTTTTAACTTTTAGCAGAGATGAGGTCTTTTTATGTTTCCCTGGCTGGTCTCAAACTCCTATGCTCAAGTAATCCTTCCACCTCAGCCTCCCAAGGTGC